AAGAAAACTACAGACCAATATCCCTCATGAATATAGCTGCAAAAATCCTCAACAAAATTTTAGCAAATAGAATTCAGCAGCATATCAAAAAAATAATTCACCATGACCAGGTGGGCTTTATTCCAGGGATGCAAGGCTGGTTTAATATATGCAAATCTATAAATGCAATTCGCCACATAAATAAAAGCAAGAACTGTTTGAACTTTTCTAATGAGCATATAATTTATGTACTTGAGAATAATTTCATTAAAGTTTTAAATAATAATGATGATGATGATATCTACCTTGAAGGGCATTTTGAGAGATCCAGATGTAATAATGTGAAAAAGCACACAGCACAGTGTTTGAGATAGACAGACAGACAGACAGACAGATGGATGATAGATACAGGTAGAGATAGAGGTAGAGGTAGAAGTAGAATATCTGTGACCTTCCTCGCACCTCCTGCCTCCCCTGGTGTCTTCGGTGCCCCATCCCCACTCTCCTTGGTCCTTCAGAAGACCCATACATTCTGAACTGGCAAGGCACTAAGGCCTGGGGCCACTGAGTGACAGCCATGACTTACCTCGGTGACAAAGAGTGTGCGAGGGTCAATGATATCCAAGAAGTGCCTGAAGCGGCCATAGAAGGACGTCTGGAGAAGAAGATAGGAAACAAGAGTAGGTGAGTTCCATACACCGTCCTCCAGACACTGGGGAGCCCCACCCCACAGCTCGCCCTTAGGATCAGGGTCCCCTGGTCCCCAGGACTCCCCAGGTGTGTGAATACCAGAGAAGCCTCACTGCTCAGGGACCTGAGGACAGATTTCTTGGGGCTGAGAGTTTCCTAAAGTCAACTCAGAGAGACCATTAAGATGATCAGTGACCGTCCCAACTTCTCTTCCAGATGCCTCCCATTTTTCTCCCTCTCTCCCAATGCCCTGAGATCTGTTCTGAGCCCTTCAGAAGCTCCCAAGCACCACCGGGCTTGCGGGCTGGAGGTGAGTCCTGGTCTGCAGCCCTCTTCTGGCCTCTCTGCCCTGCATAGGACAGCTTGAGTGATAGCAGACCCTGCCTGCCCCTCACAGAGTCCCTTCCCACGGTCCAGCTCTGCCCTGGGGGCGGAAGATATCCACAGGCACAGCTCAGGTATGACAGTGCCAAGCTCACAGCCCTCGGGCCTTCCTTCACCCATAACCCTGGAGCTGCTATGAGGCACAGGGTGAGGGGCCTGTTCCTCCAGCCCTTCGCCCCAGAGCTGGGACCCTGCAAAAGGAGGGCTTTGTGCTAAGCAGGCCATAGGCATTAGAGCACAATGAAAGGAAACCAAGAAATGCCTCCGCTGGGCATTCTGCCCCGGGCACTAAGCCAGCTGGGCAAAGCCGAGCTCAAGCGGAGGAGAGAGGGTGCTAAGCTCAGAATGAAGGGGAAAGCGGCAAACACTGGGGTTCATGCCTCACTTCACTCCAGCCTCTACCCCAGATTTCTCCCTGGAGCCCCACAGCTCTCCATGCACCATCCTCTGCACAGTGGAGGAAACAGAAGCCTCCACATTCCCTTCCCTTGCTTCCTAGGACACCAGATCCTGCAGTCAACCCTTGCTCCTTTCCCTTTCCAATAAAGACCCTGCAATAGGCCCCAGGTCACCTCAAAGGCCCCACGCACAGCAGGCCTCATCCCACCTCCACTTCTCTGCCCACTGTGGCATGCCCTGCACAGAGCATTGTCTCATCCCCACTGTCACCCGCCACCCAGGTGCTGCCTCTCACAGACCAGATCGAGCTTTAGCACCATCCTAATAAAACAGTTGCTCTCTAACCTCTTATAATTCAAATGGCCTAAACCATTTCCCCACTTAAGACATGCATGCTCGAGGCTCCCACTGTTGTCCTGGCAAAATCTCACCTCTAAGAATTTAGCCTAGGAAACAATCCAAGATGTTCAGAGATGTGGTTGGGGTGCACGCTAAGGATGTTCACTGCTGCATTATTTACATAGGTAGGTGGTTAAATACATGATGGCCCATTCATATGACTGAATACTATGCAGCCTTTATAATCATGTTTTCAGACAGTATTTATGACATGGAAAAATGATTATGATTTTATAAAATGCATATAAGCAGTGTGATTCCAACTCAATGAACAAGGAGATAAATGGAGCTAGGTGGATACTAAATGAAGAGCAAAAAGACCAAATGACATCCAGATCCTATCCCACTAAAAAGAACTAGAGTTTCTCAGGGAAGTGGCTAATTCCAGGGCTGAGACAGGGAAGATACAAGATGAAACTGGTACATTTTGTTGTGTCAGAAAGTAATGAAGTGCTACCCCCCAAAATGATGGGGACATGTTAAAAGGACCAATGAGGGGCAGGCAGATATTGTGTCCCTCTGGTAATGACACCCTGAAAAGTTGCCAGCATTGCTTCCACAATATTCTGGAGGGACTGAATCTACATCATGAGGAAACATCAGACAAACCCAGAGGGAGGGGCATTCCATAAATTAAGTAACTGATCTTGCTCATCAAATGCGCCAATGTCATAAAGACAAAGACAAAAACTGTTCCGCATTAAAGGAAACTAGAGACAATTAAGTGCGTCACATGAATTGGGTTTGGACCCTGGACTAGAGCGGGAAAATGCTCTCAAAGGCATTACTGAGACAAGTGACAAAATTGGAATATGGACCACAGATTAATAAAAGTTTTGTATCCATGTTACATTTCCTGAATATAATAACTGCACTGTGGTTATGTAAGAAAATGTCCTTGTTCTTAAAAGACAGACACTGAAATATTAAGGGATGAATGAACATAACCTACTTTCAAATGGTTGAAGAAAACTAACGTGTAAATATAATATACAGGGCAGTCATGAAATCTGGCAACACAGGTGTATAACTGTTAGATATTTACAGATTGAAGATGTCCTGATGCTATCATGTATATTTGCTATGGTGCTAGATTTTATGATCACCTGTAGCCAAAGAGAATAATAAAGGAAATGTGACAAAATGTTAAAAACTGGTAGATCGCAAAGGGTACGCAAAAATTTTCCCTACTCTTGCAACTTTTCTGTAAGACTGAAAGTATTTCAAAATAAAAGGTAAAAATTATATTTTCAAAAAGCCAGATGAAAATACATTAAAATGTTAACAGAGATTATCTCTGGGTAATAGGACTATGGGTGATTTTTATTTCTACATCTTTTAAATTGCTTTTAAAAGGAAAAATAAATCAGTATTATACATAACATATAGAATATTCTATTTTTAAAAAATATAAAGTAAAATACAAGCTGGTATTTTAAGTATTATACTTGATTATGAGCTCCTGAAGGACGTGGACTGTCAGATGCTCTTTCCTTATCCTCCTTGGCTCCGAGTCTCCTTACACATCCAGAAGGGCCTCCACGAATACTGGGGAATGGATGTGTGGGCTGAAGAGCAGCCAATGGCCTCGAGGCTTCCTGGAGGGGACGGAGCTGGGCTGGGCTTTGAAGGGAGGGCAGGATCAGAAAAGGGTAACAGCATGGCAGCTGGTGGCCCAGAGCAGGAAGAGGATCACCAGAAGAATGGCCTGAGTGAAGCAATTTCTTGAAGATGGTCCAGCACTGCACTGTCTTGACCCTGTCCCAGCCTTGCCAGCCCTCTCGTGTCACTTTCCACCACAGCTACTGGGGGAGAGTCCCAGATAAAGCAATTTGCCCCACAGACATCTATAAACTCCCGTTGAGCTCGGCTCAGGGGATGCCAAAATGAACAAGCCCTCAAGGAGCTAAGAGCCCATCAAGAGACAAATAACTACAAACAAATAAGTAAACAAATAACACTGTGATCAGTGCTTAAATGAGGCATCACAGAGAACACTGGGGACACACAGATTTCTTCCTAGTGTAAGTCAAGGAGGCAGCCCAGCAGAGCTGGGACTGGGAGGAGAATGAATTTACCAAGCAGAGAAGGTGTAAGCAAGAGTATGAAAGCATGAAGCCTGGGATCAGAAGCTGCACCTGACTCCACCACTCAGCTGCCTAGTGAGGCCCTACATGTGCCCAGAGCTGTGCTAGGTCCTGGGGGTGCTGCAAGGCTGAGTGACTGTGGGGGAACAAGGAAGGAAGAAAATTCATGGATGATGCCTAGATTTCTAGTTAGACACGAATGCTTGTTAACCAGGATAAGAACAGCAAGAAGCATACTGACTGAATGGGGAAGAAGATAAAAATTCTGTATTGGTCATGTAAGTCTGAGATACTTAAAGGGTCTTCCAGATGTAACTCTTCAGTAAACACGTGGACACATAGGCCTGAGACTGAAGAAAGGGGCCCTGAGTTGGAAATGCAGATAATAGTGTCCTAACCCAATCAGCCTAAGGCCCCCAGTGACAAATCTATAGTGTGACAAAGTCAGGTTTACTGACTCACGGCAAGGAAGAAGACACACAGCAGAGGAACTCTGGGGTGCCTCACCAAACAAAGGGAAAGATTGAGTTAGTATAGAATTTTGGGTAAAGGTGGAGTAAAATGTAAATGAAGCAGATTCAATGTGCTCAAAGCAAAGCAAGACAGGGTAGGAAGGAGTCAACGTAGGTCTGGACAGACAAGTGGACTATGGGTCTTGTTTCTTTGGAAACTGTAAAGATTAATGTGGAATGTTGGGACCAAAAACCCCTTATTTGAAGCTAAGTACATGGGTGGATTTTCTGAGGCAAAGTGGCTTAGATCAGCTAGTCAAGAGGTGGCTGGTTCATTCCTACTGATACAATTTAAACAGCAAAGTTTCCAGCAGTCTATGACCTTAAAGTGTGGGATTTCTGGATGAGTATGAGAAATTTCAAAGAACAGAATTGTTCTGAAACTTTTTAGCTCCAGTGGGTCCTTGTGAGAAACATTGTTTCTTTGCAGCTGGCTTTATGTGTGTCTGTCCTTCCTGCTCCATGAATGGCAGGGAAGGTGTTTACTTTCTCACTCTGAGTTCATTTTTATTTTCTCAGTGGTTTAAAATGTATAGCCTTCTCTCCCCCTCTAAAATTCAGCCCCCATCTTTACCCAATCACATAGTCAGTGACGTTTTTCCTTCCCTTTTTCTTTACCAGAAGAATGAGTCAGCCAAGTGATTCCTTCCCTTTCCCTGCACAAGAAAGGTGAGTCAGCTAATTCTCAGCAGGAGCCCTGGGCCTGCAGCAGCAGGCTGCCTTCCCACCTCCAGGGCTCACCTCTCTCCCACCTGCAGGCCCCTGGGGCAGAGCGGGCCTTGGGAGCAACAGCTGAGGATGAAGGTCTACCAAGAAACTGACAGGCATCCCCTCCCCTCCAGACCTCTAAATTACTGCTCCTGGGGATTAGGAATAATTCACTGAACCTATAGCCCAAAGGCAGAAAGCCTGGACCAGCACAGTCGTCCTGAACCAGGCTGCACAATGAATCACGTGGGTGCTTCAGAAACCAGGCCACACACCCAGGAATTCTGATTCTATTGATCTGGGGTGGGCTCCAGGCATCAGGATCTGTTTAAAAACCTGCTCAAGTGACTTTAGGAGATGTTGACCCCTCTCCAAGCAAAGCCAAGTCTCAGAGGTTCCCTGGGTGCTATGCTGTAATCTGCCCCCCTTCACTAGGCAAGGAGGTGTGTGGGCGGTTAAAAGCATGGACTTGGCCA